GATGGTTAGCTACACTGAGTGATATGGCTGGGTGTCGCAAACAGTGGCGCTCTTGCATCCACTCGTTATTCTCCTAACACCACTCTATATGTATACCCGATCTTCGCTTGAATTTCCTTCGACCTTCCAATCTACATTTTGCTCTTTTATCCAGATGGGCAACCAAAACCGGCGCACGAAAAGGTATGGTTAATGGTTGTAAAAACTGAAATGAAATGAACTCTCCGCGGGCTAATGAACCCTAGTTGGAGAGACCACAGTGCTACCGTGGTAACCTCTAGCCACATGAATTTCCGTTCAGATTCAAAGATGCAAAGCACTCGAAGGATTCATTTAACTGAAGGCATATTAGCGCACAAACTTGTGCTGAAACAGAAACAGGAATGAAACTTCTGAGAACAACCCCAATCTGAGAATACTGAGACAGTTCACGTTTCCAACACAAATTGGTTGCAATTGAGCAAAGGAAAGCCAAAAACACTTACGGGTGATGCACAGAGAATCCGCCAGTTGGATGCGATCAGCAGGTGGAGCGAAATTGAAGTGTTTAATTAACACCGGATTTGCAAGCAAACAGCGCACTTGTCTATCGCCCAACGTCCGTGGTTCTTCACCAGTGACAGCTTCCAGTTCGGATGCTTGGATGTCAAAAACGGATGGAGCCCCCGGGCACGAAGTGATTGTCGCATCGTGAAGAATGGATTCGAATCGACCGAGGGTGAGACCTTGATTAAATCGGCACAATCGATGATGTGACCAAAGGAAAGGAGATTCCACGAGCTGTGTGAAATAACGCGAGGCAGAATATAGCGGTCAAATCCAGAGAATGCACTGAGTTATGACTGGTGTAAAGAAAATAAGCAAACACCGGTTACGTACAAACTGCTTCCGAAAGCCTCAGTATGGTCGAAGGTGGGTGTCTAGGGTTGCAGCTGGTCACCGTTCCCTTACACCTCGCGGAATGCGCCTATACGCTCAAGCGTCTTAAACAGCCTCTGCTGAGGAAGTCTTACTCACTACCTTCTCGTGGTGGTGTTTTCCCACCAAAGTGAGAG